CATCATCAACGACGGAGAACTCCTTCAGCAGCGCGCACTCTTTGTGCAGGCCACTCGTCAGACTGCAGTTACAGGCCCTCCACAACATCGTCCGACGTTCTGATTGTTCTCAGACACAGTAACTCGCGAGTAGAAACTCATCCACCTGCAATCCCCCTCCAACCGTCACGCCAGCCGCGAATTGGGGTCTATGAACGGCTCGCGGCGTAGGTCTCGGCCTGTTTCTCTACGTCTCCAGTCCTGAATTGCCAGGACAGCAAGCCTGCTGGCTCTTGTTCAACAATCTCGAACGGCTCGGCCTCTGCCGAAGTCTATCACAGTCATCGGAATCGCTCGCCCACCACATCTCATTTCATTCACCACACAATTCCTTTGTCTCGTTAGATTCTCCCAACGCGTCATCCCAACAGCCAAACGCCCGGGCCAATATCAATGCAGCAACATCCATGGCTGCACCGCCTTAACAGCCGTTCACGTCACCTTTTACAGCAAGAGGACAACTTGTCAGATTTAACGACCGACGTCATACTCCTGTATTACTGTAACTTATGCCTGCGCTATTTTTCCACAAACGTGGTCTTACCTCAACACTTGGCTTACCACAGCAGCAACGTAACGGGATTTTTGGCTGATACTAGCGTTTTCAACTGGACGGAGTTCAAATGCTCAACATGCAGCAAAACGTTCAAAAGCAAGCGTGGTTTGTCTCAGCACCGTCGTCAAGTCCATTCGAATGCTTACCACGCAGATGGTCTGGCGCGGCTATTCAATCACCAATGCAACCGGCCTGCGCCAGCAGACGAGTCACTTCTTGCCTGCGCCACGGATATGGCACTCTGCCTTCAATCTTTCACAGCTGCTCTGGCAACTTCGCATCCGATTTCCCTACCGAGCAAATGACCGCATCAATAAACATTTGCTAGATCGCACTTGGAACATCATGGGAGCAAGGGAACGCCTCTAGACCTGCTCAGCTATTTCAATTACGCACATCGCCGCACCATCTCTTCTTCTCACTCAGTCGCCAAGTTCCCCTTACTAGCCTCTAACCGAAGTGGTCCACCCACGACTCCATTTGAACTCCACAAGCATGACTGCATCCCTCACGTGGCACGGTTCCCATCTTAGTGAGCATCAAGACGACTCTACAGTCCGGCTGAATGTCAGCACACACAACATACGTTACCTTGAAGTGGGCTGGCGACAGCCCGCCGCTCTATCGCCTAGTCTATCATTATCCTCAGCTTCACCATACGATATCACTCCAGGGGTCGATTTGGATGAATCCTGAGCCGAAAACCATGTGAAAGTCGTTACAGATACATAGCACCTAGTTATAGAAACCACAGGTGACCAGGCTGCCTTTCAAGATCTTATGGACGGAGGAGAGAGAAAAACTGGCCCAATGCAAATCACAAAGTGAACACCGTGAGAACAGTCATTGAAGACCTGCAAACGGGGCATTCTGGGACAGAATTTAGTAACACCATGGAAAGAGTGTACCCAACCCTATTGCCTCACACATGGCGGCCAGTAAGCGCAAACAACGGGCATTTACAGTCTCAAACAATCGTCAGCGACGGCAACTTCAATACGGCCACATAAGAAGCCTCTACCATTTGCGAAGAAAAGACGTTGCCGCTACAGTATTCGATGGTCGTTGGAAGAAGGCATTCATGCCGGATGAAGTGATGATCCCGGACTTCAACGACTTAAGGAAGGATGCGCTCTCGCAACCCCCAGTATCTGGTAAAGGGGCACCACCCGGTTGTGTAAATATTAACTGGGATCTTGTAAGACCCATAAACATTGAGGAAGCGAGTTCTGCACTGTGAACAATGGGCGGATCTGGACCCGGAGTAGACTACAGCATACGAAAGGATATCGGTTGGATGGATCCGAGATTCATTACGTCTTTCTTAAATTGCTTAGTAGCTCGTTCCCCTTATTCTACTCGCATGAACGTGGCCGGTGTAACGTTTGTGCCAAAATCCCCAACCCTTCCTGCCCTGAAGACGTTCGCCCAATTTCCATAACTTCAATCTTCACTCGTCTTCTTCATCAAATTGTATTCGTTCGCTCGATCCCTGCATTCCCAGCTGACCTCCTTCAAGTTGCTTTCTTTCGTAAATATGGCTGCTTTGAAGCCCCACGATATTACACTCCGCACTAAGATATTCACACTTGGACGATATCCCCTTGTTTATTGCTTAAAATTTCAAAAGCCTTTGATTACATCTCCCACGCTTCCCTGCTTCGCGCAGCCACATTTCTCGGTGCGCCTCTTTTCTCCTACATTACCTAAAGTCTTATTACTCCTACGGAAATTCAAGCATCAACATTCACCCATGGCATGAAGTCGTCAAGAAGATCCACTTTCTCCCTTGCTCTACATCATAGCACTTGAGGAAGCACTGCACAAACAGTGGATTTCCCTAGCAGGCCCAATCGATCATGTCGCTTACTTGAATTACCATTTGATTGAAAGCATAAACGCCAGTCAAACTCTCTAGCACAACTTAAAACACAACTGCAGGAAACATCTCAAGCCCCTCAAACAACACCAGCGTTGCGCACCTATCTTTTACCGCGTCATACACATTGCTTCTCATTAGCGGTAGTGCACCGGCAGACCTTCAAATCGATGAATAGGCTGGTCCGGGAAAGTATACGAAAATGGATACGACTCCCCAAGGACACCAGAGTTTCTTTCTTTCAGACATCAACTGAGGATTATGGTCTAGGGCTTCCGTGCCTTTCTAGTATGATCCCATTGCTTCGGAAGGACCGCCTGGAACGCCATCTTTCACTCTCCCACCCAATTACCAGCTGGGCGATACGGGAACCTTCAGCGGCTACCATCCAGCGCCTCGCCATGTAATCCATAATCATTTGGAATCAAGTCGCCTTCAACAAAATTGACGCGAAGGAAGCATGGAAGAATTCACTGCTACAATCTGTTGACGGATCCTTGCTTCGAGGGGTATTTATGACACCCGCGTCTGGATAAGAAACTCCGAGCGAATTTTTCCCCAGACTCTACATCAGAGGAACCCAACTTCGAGCAGGGGTACTGTCGACAAAATCTCGATGCTCCAGAGGACGACCACCCCCAAACCCAACCGATCTTCACTGACGGGGTGCTTGTGGACAAAACGAAACACTTTCACACGTCTTGCAGTTCTGTGCAGTAACCCACGATACGTGCTGTAAGAGGCACAACGATATGGTAAAACAGCTAACCAAAACATCCTTCGTCGTAAAGGAGCCCAAATCATCCCGAAGCCCCGCATCCCAAGTGCATCAAAGTATATCAAACCGGATATAATCATCATCAAGCACTTCACAGTACACGTAGTGGACGTGGCAATATGAGACACCTACAGAATGTCCCGTAGCTACCAACTAAAAATTGACAAATACGGTGTAGGTGCTCATGTGGAAGCCATAGCCCGCTTTGTGCGCTCGGAATTTCCTACGGCACTAAATATCATGCATCATCTGATAATCATCAACAACCAGGGGTCATATATTCCTATCCTCCGCCGAGCACGTTTCGGCACTGGGGCTCACCAATCTTGACATATCTAACGTTGTGTGTCTACCATGATATAATCCCCCCAAGTTTACGACACCCAGATGCGGGGTGCAATGTGACAAAACATCACACTAACACCGTACACTCACACGTTCGCAAGCGATTCCGATCATTTTTCGCTTTTTATATGAATATTGTTTCAATCTTATGCCAGGGCATTTGTTCAATCTCGGCGAATGTATGTAATGCCCAGGCCATGCATGAATTTGCTGAAAATATATGTTTACGAGACCGCGATTCACATTGTAGTGAACCTTTGTCACTGCGATCACTGGGATCGTAGCCGAAGCAGACAGGAATTGGGTGTTTCCCGCCTGAGATTGCGCGGCGCAATCCAAGCACACAACGTGTAGTCCAAAATCGGCCCTCCAATCAATGACACGGTTTATTAATGAACAGGAGTTAGGTGTGATGTTATTCGGTTCATCGTAATTAGTTTACAAGCCGCAAAGGTCAACTACTTATCCAGAAAGGTCCCAGACAATCATTTCGCCCTATTGGGGCTCATCAGTGGTACGCATTCTCTCGGTATCCTGCTGGGGATCGAACCCATGACCACTAGTGGTTTGCACCGCTAACCAACAGCCTATGGATGAGTCGACCTATATCGCAGCTGGGTTTCAATCCGTGATGATAGGCTATCGTTCCTCATGACTGAGTGGCATAAGCCACTGGCTAGTGGTACAAGACACCAGTAGTCATAGGGTCGATCCCTAGCAGGCAACCGAGGGACGCGCACCAGTGAAGTGCCCCGATGGGGCGAAAATGTCGCCTCGTACTTTTCCGGATAAGTAGTTGAACTCTGTGCATTAGGATGTAATTGCGATGAACCAAATATAGTCACAGAGTTTGTTTGATGTTTAACCAATAAACTGTCCGAGACGAACGGCTCTAAAAGTGCGGAAAATGTGTCACTCACTATAACCAGATGGATCGAAAAGTGCGAAAATATTTGCACTACGCGGACGTCCAGTCTTCGCGACAGTCTGGATGGCAACCCTACATTTGAAAGAGAATTCGACGCGATACCAGGGAAATTTCCTGACAGCAACGAGGTTTAGGAGAACAACTGCTCGTTACACAGCATAGTAATCAACTGCAGCAAGGTATAAAGACGTATGCATCCCTATGGCTGCTGTACATACGTGAAGTTGGGAAACAATGGGGTCTGTTCAGCCGCCTTTTTGACACCGTGGATCTTACCGATCGTCTTTATAATAGTCGGGAAAACTGGGGAAACAACCGGACTGCTACAGCCTTCCCACCTAATAAATTTCTATAATGTAGGAAAGACAAATCTTCCGCTTCCACCTATCGAACGCGATATGAGTGAGTTTTGAGTAGCATAGAAGGCGTACGAGAGCTTGGACAGTGGCGAATAATGTAAAATGAAGAGACTCACCTGGTTTACCGGTAATCAGAATGATGTTGCCGGCCTTCATCTTATGAGCCTCATTCATGTAGCAAAATCAGACCCATCATGTGCAGACGTTAGTCATGAATCGAGAAAAGAGAAGAAACGCGACATGTTCATTTTGGCCAACAAAGGATGCAAAGTATTAGTTATAACGGCTCAGTCTCAACTCAACAACTAAAGTTTGCTGGATGCAGTTGCCATGAAACTTGCTGAAATGGGAGTAGCCAGCAAAAAGCAAGAGAAAATGAGACCAGAAAACGACAGAACAGATGATTCTACCGCGGAAGCAGCAATGAGCAAAGTTGATCAATCCCTCGATGTTTCCAGCGCACAAGGGCAATTCCACGGATCCATACATAGAAACACTGCCCGCGCCGTAACAAAATGAAATCCAGCTTCGATCTACAAGCTGTCAAATTGTCTGAAAAGTACCTGGCGTCTGGAAAAGGTGGCACACGAACTGTATCGACAGCAACACTGTAGTTTCCAATGAAATGACTGCTTAAAATACGGTGGCTTCAAGAATCAGTAAATCGATTTACCACTTCAAGTGGTTGCTCGGCGAAGACGGATATCGGTGATGTATCAGACTAGTGTTGCAATAGTGACTTACATTTCGCAAAATAGCGAGGAGCGTACCAGGGTGTAGCATGAATAAAACAAGAAAGTCAAAGTACCGAGACATCACGCTCGTCAAAAGGTGTGGAGTCTACAATGCTGCAGTGCGCTCAACCCCACTGTGCGGTTGTGAGCCTTAACCCATCAGATCGACTGACATAAAGAGGCTAGTTGCGTTTGATCAACCATACCATCGCAGTTTGTCGCACATCTGGGATGACATCGCGTGAGCAATGAGCGTGTAGTGAACTGGAAATCCCCCCTTATGACTGCGTAAATCATGCTAAAGTTATAGTTTTCTTATGTCTTAAGCAGTCAGCTTGTTTGTATTTTGTTTCCGTTTGTTTGGGTCACACACGCAACTCGGGCACCCGTTTTGTCACCAATCAGATGCGACCTATGATTGGCGCTCATCCATATCCTCCCTAGCTCTTCTCTGGTGCCCTAATTTTAACTTTAACCACCTTGGTGATCGTCCAATAAATCTTTTCTAGCTTATTTTCGTGTGTTCTCCCGTGTGTTCTCGGTTGGTTGACAAGCCGCGAATCTGACATCTATCGCACGACCCACGCGCTATAAGCGTGTTCATTACGGTTTTTGGTGCGGGATGAGCAAACGAACCGCTCAGAACCGTTATTCCACTCCCCAAGCCACGATAGCTGTGCTACGTTACGCACGCCAACACATCGATCCCTTCTTGTGTGTTGTTTGTGCGAACAGGATGTGGATGGGAAAGAAGCGGAGGCTAATCGATAAGTCGATAAAAATAAATTAAGACCATCATTTCGAACTTTGCCTCGGCTGGTGCGTTAAGACTATCGAGTATAGGATCCGAAAGACGATAAACACGTTTGGTTGTGGACATTTGTTGACATGAGGAACAGCCGACCTCAGGAGTGATTGTGCCGTTTCGCCGCCCGTCACCATCAAGTTCCAAGTACAAGTTTAGATGGAAGTGAAGCGGCAGGAAAATCCCGTGAATGTCCCTTACTGAGTAGGTTGTTGATCAGAGGGTAGCTAAAACGCATTGAATCCTTGACCAACCTATAACTAAACACCTGATCTGCAATGCGGCCAACCGATTAATGCATATATATCAGCCGTTAGCAATCCATGCTGTATCGTCGGCGGAAAATAAGAAAGACTAAGAAATGCAAATCGAAAACACAGGAGGGGAATTTTAGTTAAGCAAAGGATAATGATAAGAATCGCAGAAAGGTAGAAAAAGTAAGTTAAAAGATGCAGTTAAGGGGACGGGCAAATCCGATATTGCCAGCTAACAGCATCTAGCTGACTTTCAGGAGTTTTAACTGTGCTGCAACCACGGCCACCAAAAGTTAGTCCCAACGTTCGGTAATATGGCGCGACAACGGGTATCTGTCATAAGCTGATTGATCACTGCCAAAACGCGGTAGATGAGGATCATCACCCACTGCATTACATAATGTTAGTAAAAATCGACCGGAGTCGTAGGCACGATACTTGTGTACATATGCACTTAAATATATACAGAAATGTGCACTATTCGCGACAATTCGATGGGAGTCGGGTGCCGAGCGCTCCAGTGACCGATAGTGCTGACAGAAGATTAATCTCCAAAGAATTCTTCGATAGTGAATCAAGTACACACTCAAATTATGTAGACGCTCGGCGTACGAATGCCCGAGCAATTCTTGGGCTAATTCAGTACCGACTCACAGTAATTCCGCCAGTTCCACCTTGTCCCAAGCAAACAATGGCGGATAGTCCTGGATGCAAAATTCTATATGGAACAGCCTGAAAGCTGAGAAAAATTTGACAAACAAAAGCTGCTAGAATCTTAAATCAATACAGAATAAAGCACAAAACCCAGAACCCTCTACTAGCAATCCCAATGTCATTAGCAACACCATCATCGTTAACAGCAGTACAGCTCAGTTCAGTTCAGTTCAGTTCAGATGGGGACTGGAACGATAGGAAAATCCCGTGAGTGTTCCATCTTGAGTGGATCGTTGAGCCAGGAATTGATGAAGTGCTCAGTTATTGATGGATCTAAAACGGAAACACCCGTATCGCACCCTGGCCAACCAGTTAATGCCCACGTTTCCTGCCCTAGCAGTCCCTGCTGTGGCAGTCACGTGAAGTAAGCAAAGGATAGGAAGAGAAATCGAAGGTACAGAATAGGGAAGTGCACTTAAATAAGAAAATAATACCAATACGTGAAGAAAAGTAGAGAAAAGAAAATCGAAGTACGAAGATGTGAGTTACTCAGGAAAATGGAAAGGTTTCGTGTTGCCACCCAAGAGCGTCAAGTTGCCGCTCAAACCCCTTAACCGTGGATTCCCTGATAACACTTTCCGGAAGCATGTTCCAGCGGTCGATAACTCGGCGTGACAGCCGGATTTCCGCCCTAATCCGATCGGACCGCGGTTTGTCCAGCTTCAACGAATGACCGCGTAGAACAGACAATCTAGCGGGACTGAATAGCCAAGACAAATCTGGACCAACCTTCCCAGTCAAGATACGGTAGGTTAGGATTAGGTCTCCTCTAAGCCTTCGGTAGTGCATTGAATGCATTCCCAAACTAAGTAGACGCTCGGGGTACGTCCGTCCCCGTAATCCCTCGACTAACCTAGTACCCACTCGTAAAACCCTCTCTAGCTCCATTTTGTCCCGGACGAGGCAGGGCGGACAAGCCTGGACGCAGTATTCCAGATGAGGGCGAACGAAAGCCGAGAACAGCCTCGTAAAGATGCCGCCCGTCAAGACTCCGAAAGAACGTCGGATTAACCACAACATGCGTAAACCTCTGCTTGCGGCCTTCTTCCAGTTGTCGCCGGAGTGTAACGCCGAAGAGTGTACGACGCCTAGGTCAACCTGGCTAGATACACGGGGGAGTTCGACCCCACCGACCAAGTACTTCGCAGGAGGACAACCTCCTCCAATTCGAAGAACGGAGCACTTTGCCTGATTTATGGGCAGTAACCATAAAGTAGACCAGTCCCAAAGCTTATCCAATGCTCGCTGAATAGCTTCGGAACCCCCAGGAACATCAACAATGTTCCACAGCTTCAGGTCATCAGCAAATAGCAGCGATGGTACCTCAAGCTCCGTGGGTAGGTCGTTCACATAGATAGAGAACAACAGCGGTCCAAGGACCGAGCCCTGCGGCACGCCGCTGAGGACAGACTGCCTAAATGACAGACCCCGGCCTACCCGTACACATTGTTCTCTACCCTCCAAGAAGGCAGTCACCCAATGAAGGGCGCGGCCAGATACCCCGTAGGAGGACAGCTTTTGCGCGAGCCTCAAATGGGGTACCTTGTCAAATGCCTTCGAAAAGTCGACGAAAAGCACGTCCAGCGTGTGGCCGTTATCCACTGCATCCGCCCAATTTTCGCGAGCCACCAACAGATTCGTCAGACACGAAAATCCCTTCCGGAATCCGTGTTGTACATTGCTAAGTAGATTAAATCTACTCAGATGACTCTCTAATGAATCTCTCACCAGTTTCTCGAGGAGTTTGACTACTACACTCGTCAGACTAACTGGCCTGTAATTTGCAGGCAGACCCCTGTCCCCATGTTTAAAGATGGGACAGATGACAGCTTCCTTCCATTCGGAAGGCAATGCACAACTGTCAAGCGATTTCTGAAACACAATAGCGAGCGGTCCACTTAGTTCCGCAGCCAACTCATGCAACAGTTTCGGGTGAATTAAATCAGGCCCAGAGGCCTTAGAAGGGTTCAGCCCTTGTAACAGCCTACGAACTGCAGTCTCCGCTACAATAAATTCAGATAGTTCTGAACCCTCTGGAGTCCTGCAAACCAGCTCAACGCCTGTCAAAGAGGTTTCCCTTACAAACGCTGCCGCATATTGCCCACTGAGTACGCAGGCCTTGTCATAATCCGTATGCGCATGAGTACCGTCATCACGCATCAATACTGGAATTGACATTTTCGAACCGCAGCGTCTTTTGACATAAGCGAAGAATCTTTTTGGATTCTCTGAAGCTTCGTCCGCTAACCCTTTTTCAAAATTGAGCCGAGCATCCCTTAGGTGTTGCTTACACCTATTTCTAGCTTTACGGTACCTGTCATAAGTATCGGTAGACGGAGCGTCTCGGTAAGTCCGCCAACATCTAGATCTCTTTGTGAGCAGATGCCTGCCAGTGGGATCTATCCAGGGCGGCTGTGCTCGGGCCTCCTTTCTCCTTGTGACTGGTATGAAGGGAGCAGAGACCTCTGTGAGGTAGGACTTAAATTTATCCCAGGCAACCTGGACAGTATCGTCGTCTGAGATCTCACAATGGAAACCAGAAGCCTTGGCTCTCATTGATTGATAGTCTGCTTGCCATATGTTCGGGCGAGACTCAACAGTACTCTGGTAGCGTCTAGACAGAGTACAATTGAAGAGCAAACAAACATGATCACTGGAACCCAGTGG